GGCTTGGGGTCACTGATGGGTGGGGTGTGGTGGGATGGGGTTAGGAGGCAGGGCCTTTTCACTTTATCTCAGCATCATGGGAACTCTGATCAGGGAGAGACTGGAAGTCAGGGCTGGGTATGAGCTCAAGGTGGACACGTTGGCTGTGAGTGCCTCTGCCAGGCACAGCTCTGACTCACCTTGGGCGCAGTCTTGAGTGAGCATCCCAAGAGGCATCAGATACAAGCCAAGTGCGAAGGACAACATTCTGCAAACTCTGCCCCATGGACCTAGCTGTCTGCTGGGGACAAAGAAATAGGCATCTGGAATGTAGTGTGTTGCGTATGTGGGAGTTTAGGAAGTCTTAAGAGCTCGTAGTGAAGCTCCTGGTTCAGCCCTGGGCTGAGGGAAGACTCCTCAGAGAAAGCAGTGTCTGAGACTGAAGGATGGGGAGGAGTTGGCCAGATGGCAAGGGTGGGAAGGCATCCTAGGCACAGGTACTGCCTGGTCCAAGACCTGGAAACAAAGCAGAAACAGCAAGTTGGGGCAGGAACAGCACGGAATGATGATGGCTCAAATGTGGCGTGCTGAGAGAGGCGGCAGGAGCCCAAGTCTGCAGAGACTTGTAGGCAGGAGAGGGAGTTTAGGCTTTGTCATAAGATAGCCTCTTTGGTGCTCAGGGAACTGGCTGGCCTAGCGATTTGAGGCCTTGCTGGATTCCATACTTAGGTCGCCTTTGCCTTGGGTTGGAGATGCTTGGGCTCCGATTCCCCCTCTTCCTAGTGCTGGCTTTGTGGGGCTGTGGGTGACCCAAGTTGTAAGAGCAGGAGCTTGGAGCATTAGCTCCAAGGGTCGGGGGATCCTCCGGTCAACTCTCATCCCCATGTCAGAGCTGAGCCCCTGTGCAGCGGCTGGGACCAAGCTTGGCACCTCCTTCCTGGCCTGTGTAACCTTGACTCACAACAACCTTTTCTCTCAGATGGCCACACTGAATGCCTCAAGCTTATAAGTGGCCCTAGTCCCCTGAATGGTCATGGCCTGGCCCCATCACCCTGTGGTGAAGACTCACTGGACTCTCCCAGCCAATGCTGGGCATGTGGCAGGGCTGCTGATGGCACACAGGGACACATTATGTGTTCGAATCGCCGTCCCTGGATGGCATGGTGTCACCATCAGCACAGAACTCCCAAAGGCCTTCCCAGCACCTTCCCTCATGTGTCTGCAAAACACATATGTGGGTTCAGCATTGTTTTCTTTTCTTGGTGCACATTGCTATCTTCTGTAGAGAGAAAGTGCTTCTCACCATAGATCCTCCTGAAAGCCTCATAAGTCTCTGGCCACTGATACCAGACTCTTACCTTGTCTTCCGCCCAGGGGTATCTATGGGTCTGGTCAGGGACTGGTTGCAGGAGTGAGGCGCCTGGAGGAAGAGGAGAGTGAGTGGAGCCGTGAGAGTCAAACAGATTGATAGAATGGGCTGCAGTGTCTGGGGCCCCATAGTGGCTGTGGGTTTCCTTTTGCAGTGTTCCTGCCTCTGTTGTCACAGGCCCTGAAGCTAGTGCCAAGGGTGAGTGCCTGCAGGAGTACCTCATTACACCCTCTTCCCTGCAGTCTCATGGAGTTGGCCCATAGATCAGCAGCCTTTGGAAGAGATGGCTTCCTTCCATTTCCTCTCTGTGCGGAAGGACAGGCTGGCTTCCAATGGAGGGACAGAGGAGTGGGGTTGGGCAGAAGAAATGGGAGGAAGTGGCTCAGTTCTGGCCAGAGTTGTAAACTGTGATGTACAAGTGGGTGTGAGAGCTGGAAGACCCATCAGCAACAAGCAGAACTGAGACAGGGTGGGCTTGAGAGGCTGAGGAGTCCAGGCCCAGAGAGGGTGGCTGATGTGGCCCGTGCAACCTCAGTCCTTCCTGCAGATGGACCTCCAACACCCACTGGCCCCTCTGTGGTGAGGCCCCTTCCCTTCCCTCCCTTTCTGTAGAACTGAGGGTCTCAGCTGGATTGGAGGAGACTAGGAGAGCTTTGCCTGCCAACAGTTCAGACGGAGGTAAGGTTCTTCCCAGGGCATGTCCAAAAAATCCGTGCTCTGAGACAGTGGGGACGGTGTTGTGGGAGGAAGGTGTGCAGAGAAGGACCTGATGTCTTAGTGGCATATCTTGGGGATAGGGAATAAGGGCTTGGTCTTGGAGTCAGACAGACCTAGATTCAAGTCTTGGCTCTGCAGCATAATTACTGTGTGACCATTGGCAAGTTACTTAGCCCCTTTGAGCTTCATCTAGTTCACCTGTAAAACGGAGATTAAAAATAACAATGCTTCGGCTTCATGCTGCCTTATAAGGCTGTTGTGGGAATTAAACACATACAAAGCACTTAGGCTCTGCCTGGCACAGGTACATTATTATTGTTATAATTATTATTATTACTACTACCAACAACTACCACTATTACTTAGTGCCCTGCTACCTTGGTGTGTCCCCTCCCCTCCTTCCTCCGGGGTTCCCAGGCATCTTCTACTCCTCCCCCCAACCCCCCAGATAATGATTTTTCTTCTCTGAGGGTCCCAGGTCTGTGTGTCCATGCTCTTAGCACTCATAGCCATCCAGTGGAGGTGACAGGGAGACCTCTGCAGAAACTTCTGGGGGCAACTCAGTCTCCCCAAAATTGTCCCCCTTGATTTCTTCCAAGCGATTTGCTGGCCCAGCTTTGGAAACCTATTAGAGGCCCTCCTTGATGTGCAGGGTAAGTGTTTGGAGGCAGACAGGCGGAGCTTAGCCCCTCTGGACCTGACCAAACAGCTGCAGGTGAGCCAGCCTGGGGAGGTGGGGGTTAGACCGGCAGGAGCAGCCCTGCCCTAGACCCCCATTTACAACCTGCACTCCCATCTCCCCCAGATTAATGTGCAGAGCCTGCCCTCCCCTAGGCAACGAGTGGCTGTCCTGCGCCTGGAACCTAGGCAGCTGGGTACCCTCCTACAGGCCCACATTTGCACATGCACCAGGACCCATCTGCCACGAGGGCCTTCTCTTTCCCCAGCCCCCAAGCCCATGCTCTGGCTCACAAGGAGACAGGGCTGTGATGAGGGTGGAGTGGGTGGGTGTCTGTACTGTTTGGGGTGGGGAGGCACGAGTGGGTGTGGGCACCTGAGGGGCTCCCAGCCCCCTGGAGGCACATGGACTTTCCAGCCTACCCTGGGCACCCTCCCTTCCCCTCCCCACCACTGGAGCATGTTCTTCCTGCCTCTGTCTTGCTTCTGCCTACACATACGTACTCCTAGTTCACGCATGCGATTGGGGAAGCCGAACCCGACTCCTGTAGCCTGGACAGCCCCATCATGCAGCTTCGGGTGGCTCTCAGGGTTATTTTCAACTGGGGGCTGGCTTTTGGGTCTCTGCTCTGAATTGGGTTGGCTGTCAGGGAATGAAGGTTTAAAAGCAAGAGAAAGGGTTTTGGTTTCTGTGGCCCTCAGCTCTCTGTTTGTCTAAATCCTCCTCACCCTTGTGCCTTGGCCAGCGGGACTTGGATGCCTTCTTAGCCTCTCTCCCTCCTCCAACTTCCATATGTGAAGACAAAGGGGGTGCAAACGGGGAGAGTGTCTCACTCTCTCACTTCAGGGCTGGGAGCTGAGGAAGGAAATGGAGGAGGAAGTTCCTCCCCTTCTGGGTGCTGGGTGAAAGTGAAAGGTAGGCAGGGGGCCTGAAGTGAGTCACGCAGCTCAGGGAGGGGAAAGGCTGAGAAGCTGCGGAAGCCTGCGCCGGAGCGATAGCAGTGCAGCCTCCCTGGGGCCGGGGCATTGCAGGGTGTAGCCGGCGCTTCGTACCAGTGCCTCCCCGGTACCGCCCAGCCCCGGCCCTTCTCTGCTCTCTCAGCTGGTTTCCTGGCAACTCCTGGGCTGCTAACAGTGACCTGCAAGCGTCTAAGGGGCTGAGGTCTGAGTTTGGCCTGGGCCTGCAGATTTATGCTCCAGGGCTTCCTGAGCTCCCCTCCCCTCTCCTCCAGGCCTGACTGGCTCAGGACCAGAATGTGAGTGTAGCTCCCACCCTCACTGACTTCTCAGGGAGGAAAATAAAACCCTCTCTGAAGAAAGAAAAAGTGTTTGAAAATACATACAAGTAATAAAAATATACATAAGTTACACTGATCTCGAGTCTGTTCTGTAGCAAGGTAAATAGAGCAACCTAGTTTTTTTGGTTTTTGTTTTTTAAATCAAGTTAGAAAACAAACACAGAAACACTATGAGCAGTTTAGTCACACCATGTGATAGAGAAACTTCTGGACCTAAGATCTAACAGTCTGTATACCCCCTTAGTCTCTAGTTATGGTATTCCTTCCTCAGTGTGTCAGATCTTTGGCAGTGGTGGAGGGTGGGTGGGGACTGCTAACCAGCTACCCCGCAGGATCCTGCCTCCTTCCAGCCAGGGCTGCAAAACGGGTTCCTGTGCTAGTTTGGGGAAGACTCTGGCAGCCACAGTCCCACCCAGCAGCTCCTCCCAGGGGCGGGGCTAGGATTGCACACACCTTTGCGGGGGGGGGGGCGGGGCTCACCTGCAGCCTCAGTGCAAAGGACTTGAGCCTAGCTCTGGGCCCTGGACCCTGCAAGGACTTGGTGGGCTCCTGATCTTGGGGCCACAAAGTTGGGAATGATCCCTGTTCTCTCCACTTCCTGTGTCTGAGATGTGCTTGGAGCATCAGAGGAGGAATTGGCTGAATAAAGCTCCGTCTGGGTCTGGTGGGGAGGCTACTGCCTGGACAAGTGTGAGAGGAACAGGCCTGATTGCCCAATGGGCTGAAGCCTGGCTTAAGAGGAGAATGGAATCCAACATGGCTTTTGTCGCCCCTTTTCCCAGCTTGATCTCAGGGGCTCAGGCTGAATCTCGGCCCCACTTGCCCACTTGACAGGTGCCTTTGTGCAATGCACAAATTACACAACCAAAAACACTGTAGGCTTAGAGGCCACTCCCTTGTGCTAACATCTGCGGCACCCTGGGAAACTGTGGCTGACACTATTATTCTTCTGTCTGCAGGCTCCAGGGTCCTGTGGAGCATTATGAACTGGGAAGAGCAGACAACCTCAAGAGTGCCTCTGTGAAGAGGAAGGAAGAGCCAGCAGTTCGTCCTTTCTCCCTGTGCCTGACGGATCCCAGCATTTTTTTCTCCTGCTGCTCTGCTGCCACTGGCTTCTGGACGAGGGCGGGGCTTCCAGCAGGACCTTCCCCCAGGGGATGGGCAACTGGTAAAGTAGGTCTCACTGCCGGGGCCCGGTTGGCCACACCATGAACCTCCAGGCCCAGCCCAAGGGTCAGAACAAGCGGAAGCGTTGCCTCTTTGGGGACCAGGAGCCAGCTCCCAAGGAGCAGCCCCCACTCCTGCAGGCCCCACAACAGCCCCTGGCCCCTCCACAGTCCACCAGAGTGAAGGAGGAGCCTTACTTTGGGCACGAGGGTCCGACAGGGGCCGCCCCTGCCTCCCAGCCTGTGGAACTACCCAGCAGCCTGGCCCTGCTGAACTCTGTGGTGTATGGGCCCGAGAGGACGACGGCGGCCATGTTGTCCCAGCAGGTGGGCCCAGTCAAGTGGCCCAACTCTGTGATGGCTCCAGGGCGGGGCCCGGAGCGCGGAGGGGGTGGGGGCGTCAGTGACAGTGGTTGGCAGCAGCAGCCCGGCCAGCCTCCACCCCACTCAACGTGGAACTGCCACGGCCTACCCCTCTATGGTGGACACAAGGGGAGCCCCCATCCTGGCATGGGAATCTCCACCTACTATAACCACCCTGAGGCACTGAAACGAGAGAAAGGAGGGGGGCCGCAGCTGGACTGCTACGGAAACGCAGTGCGGCCAATGATGACGCAGAAGATGCAGCTGGAGGTAGGGCGGTCCCAGGCGCCCCTGAACTCTTTCCATATGGCCAAGAAGCCCCCAAACCAGACGCTGCCCCTGCAACCCTTCCAGCTGGCGTTCGGCCACCAGGTGAACCGGCAGGTCTTCCGGCAGGGCCCACCGCCCCCCAACCCCGTTGCCGCCTTCCCTGCGCAGAAACAGCAGCAGCCCCAGCAGCAGCCGCAGCAGGCAGCCCTGCCTCAGATGCCGCTCTTTGAGAACTTCTACTCCATGCCGCAGCCGCCCTCTCAGCAGCAGGACTTTGGCCTGCAGCCGGCCGGGCCACTGGGACAGTCCCATCTGGCTCACCACAGCATGGCACCCTACCCCTTCCCCCCCAACCCTGATATGAACCCGGAACTGCGCAAGGCCCTCCTGCAGGAGTCAGCCTCGCAGCCTGTGCTACCTCAGGCCCAGATCGCCTTCCCCCGCCGCTCCCGCCGCCTCTCAAAGGAGGGCGTCCTGCCTTCCACCACCCTGGATGGGGCTGGCACCCAACCTGGGCAGGAGCCTGCCCCCAACCTGTTCCTACATCACTGGGCCCCGCAGCAGCCACCACCCGGACCCCTGGGGCAGCCCCACCCTGAACTGGGATTCCCGCTGGAGCTGAGGGATTCGCATATGCTGTCTGATGGGGAGAGACTGGCACCTAATGGTCGGGAACGGGAGGCTCCCTCCATGGGCAACGAGGAGGGCATGCGGGCAGTGGGCACGGGGGACTGTGGGCAGATGCTACGGGGCGGAGTGATTCAGAGCACACGACGGAGACGCCGGGTGTCCCAGGAGGCCAATTTGCTGACCCTGGCCCAGAAGGCAGTGGAGCTGGCCTCACTGCAGAGCACAAAGGTAAGAATGGCGCCGGGGTGGGGCCAGACCTGGCAGAGGGCGGGGTGAGCCGTGTCTGCGGCCGGGGGAGAGCGACTGACTCCAGGTCCACAAGGGCAATTTTCTCGCGTCATGGAAGGACATGAAGGAATCCATACATTTCAGGGAGTTCTGAACTCCCTGCGTGCACAGAATCTCTACCTAGGTGCATCCATTCCTGTAGGAAGACCAGGTTTATACCCACACAGGGCTGTGCACAGGAAAGGGGAATACACCATCGTGGGTTGGCTTCTTCATTTGAGACTTGAAGGATGGGGGGTAGTGGGAGGTGAACCCACTTCCAGATCCAGTTATGCTAAAAGACAAAAGTATGGTGGTAGTTACACAGGTGATTATACTTGTCAGAATGCATCAAACTATAATTAAAACTAGGTGCTGTTTTGTTGCATGTAAATTATACTCCAATAAAGTGGATGTAAAAGAAAATAACAGTGGGGAAGTAGGGTCAGAATGTGAGCACCTATGCTGTACTCGTAGTTTCTTATACTTGATCACAAATAATTGATCCTCAAACCCTATGAAAGGGATGCTGTCATTCATCCCGTTTCATTGCTAAAGAAGCTGAGCCCCAAGTGGGATTTCCCACGGTCACAAACCTAGCTTAGAATCTGGCTCCAAAGCTAGTGTTTGCCTCTTCTTTCCTTCGAGGTCTCAAGCCCCGATACCTATAGGGTTAGACTGATATGTAGGGGGCTGCAGAACTTGACTTCACTACAGCCCGTAGCCAATGGGGAAATAGATGCAAAGATGACCCTTACTTTGCCACAGGTCCCTTGCTTACTTTCTTTTGCAGAGATATGTTTTGAATATGTAGATAGTATTTCATGTGCCACTCACTGTGCAGGCCAACTAAAACACATCTGTAAGGCACTTGTGGCTGAGATGGCCACTTGGGGACCTGCTCCAGGCCGGGATGGAGGGACCTGACAAAAGGGAGGTTATGGAGAGTATGTGGGAATGTGGTGGGAGAAAAGGTGGTCAGGGAAAGGTCAGATTGTCAAAGAACAAACATGGGTATTTTAGTTCCTGAATCAAATGGGACTGCGGGTCCTAGACCAGCAAATCAGGACTTATCTTCTGAACCTCACCTCCATTCACCCTCCCTTCCCTTCTCCAGGATGCCAATGGCTCTGAGGAGAAGCGGAAAAGTGTATTGGCTTCAACTACCAAGTGTGGGGTGGAGTTTTCTGAGCCTTCCTTAACTGCCAAGCGAGCACGAGAGGACAGCGGGATGGTGCCCCTCATTATCCCAGTGTCTGTGCCTGTGCGGACTGTGGACCCAACTGAGGCGGCCCAAGCTGCAGGTGTTGACGAGGACGGAAAGGGTCCTGAACAGAACCCCACTGAACACAAGCCATCGGTCATTGTCACCCGCAGGCGGTCTACCCGTATCCCCGGGACTGATGCCCCAGCTCAGGTATGAGAGGCTCCCCATGCAAACACCTCCAGTACTTAAGTGCTCTTGGGGGCCAGGTACCCTATGGGGAAAGGAAGCATAACAGTGCAGGAGCAATTCAAGCAACCCGTGGGGATACCATTTGTATTTTTCAAACTAAGCTCTGGACAAATGCCCGTATGGGGGACAATGAGACAGTTTTATACTTGAAATTGGGAGTGTCTAGGAAAATCTAGGATGTGTGACTCTCATTTCGGTTCAGCAAATTTTGATTGGGCCTCTAATATGGGTCAGGCTCTGTTCTAGGCACTGGGATGTAGAGATGTTTGCTTGTTCTGTCCATACAAACATGTATGTTGAAATCTGCCACTAAGATTGAGGTTTTGTCTATTTCTTCTTTCGCTTCTGTTGGTATATGAGTTACATGTTTTGATGCAATGTTGTTAATTACATACTCATTTAGAACTGGATTTAGACACTTTATCATTATGAAATCTTTCTTTTTACCTTTAGTAATCTTTGCCTTTTAAAGTCGACTTGGTCAAAATATTTAGCTTTCTTTTGGTTAGTGTTAGGGCAAGGGCAATGAAATGTGTATCTCTTCCATCTTTTTATTTTCTGCCTTTCTGTATCCTTCTACTTAAGGAGTATGATTCAAGTGGCATATAATTGGGGATTATTATCAGTTCTACAATAAGAACCTTTATCTTTTAATTAGAGTATCAATACAGTTTACATTTAATGCAATTACTGATATACTTGAGTTTGAATCCACCATCTACCATTTGCTTTCTTTTTATCCCATCCTGCTTTTCCGTGTTCCCTTTTTTTCCCTTCTTTCTTTTCCTTTGGAGTAATTGGATTTGTAATTCCATTTCCCCCTCTTTATTAATTCATTAGTTATTTATTATTCTCTTAGTGATGATCCTAGCAGACTTTCTTACCTTTATTTCTGTGAGAAAATTAAGCCCTGCAGAAAGAGATTTGAATGACTATTTTCTCAATTCTCTGGAGGATGGTACAAAGCTAGTATCTACCATTCTAGATGTTATAGGAAAGAAGTTAATTCTCTGGCTGAGAACGGCTACTAGACCCTTCAAGTATGAGAGGCTTATTGAAAACATGCATTCTTGGCTTATTGAAATCTAATATAATCTAGTATTTTACCTCTTCCCAGACAGTGCAGAGTTTTTACAACACTTTTAACCCCATTTCCCACAAATCCCTAAATTGTAGAATTACTGACGTGTATTTTCATTCTTCATATATTTTTAACATTGACAGGACATTATAGCATCATCGTTTTGTTTAGATACTCATTTTAGATTTACTCAAATATTTACCGTTTTTGTTGCTTTTCATTTCTTCCCATATATCCTGGTTACCATCTCAGATCATTTATATGCAACTTTAAGAACATCCTTACTATTTCCTTTAGTGTGAGTCTGTTCGTGATGAATATTATTATTCTTTGATTGTCTGGAAAGGTTTTTGTTTCATCTTCATTTTAGAAGAGTAACTTTGCTGGGTAGAGAATTCTGTGTTGGCAAAAAAAGTTGGTAAAAAAGTTATTATGGCAAATTTAAAGATATAATTCCATTGTCTTTAGGCTTCCATTGTAGTTACAGTACTGAGAAATCACTATCAGCCATATTATTGCTCCTTTGAATGTAAGTTGTGTTTTTATTTTGTTGCTTTTAAGGTTTTTTTTTTTTTGGTCATTCATTTTCAGCAGTTTTGCTGTTACACCTAACTGGTTTTCTTGTATTTATTCGGTTTAGAGTTTGTAGTGCTTCTTGAATATTTCTTCTGCCCCATTTCCTCTCTTTTCTTTTGGGACTCCAGTTACACATTTGTTAGAGCTTTTCACCGTATCCCCTATTTTGTTTCCCCTGCACTTTTCTAGACTTTCCATTTTTTTCTTAGTCTGACCTATCTTTCAGTTCACCAATTCTCTCTTTAGATGTGTCTAATGTGTTGTTAAGCCCATTCATTGAGTTCTTACTTTTAGTTATTTTGTTTTTCAGTTACCAAATTTCCATTTGATTCATTTTCTGTTTCTAGTTCTTTGATAAAGTTCTCGGCCTTGCCTTTTATTTTATTGCATAACTTAAGCATAGCTTTCTTAAATATTATTCCTGGTAACTCCCTTAATTGGACCCTCATGGGTCTGTTTCTATTATCTGTTATCTCATATTTTTAAATCACATCTTGCTTTCTTGTATGTCTGGTTGTTTTTTTATTGAATGTCAGACATTATATATGAAAAAATATTGAGATAATTAAAGACTCTGGATGATGTTCTCCTCCTCCAGAGAGAATTTATCTTTGCATCTGACAGGTAGTAAAGAGCACCAACACTTCTGGATTACTTTAATTTAATCATTGGTAGAGATATGATTTGAAGTTGGCCATTATTCCAAGGACTAGTCTATTTTTGATTCACCTTTATTCTGAGGATATAGCCCTTTGGAGTTCCAATCCAAAACCAGAGAGATTTACCAGGGTCTCCTTCAAACCTTAAACTCCAAGTTTTATTCTGCTAGTTCCTTGAATTTATTAAAAGCTCTACTCAGTTTCTCAGCTTCTCAGTTGCCTCTTCCAGTAACGGCATCTACTCTAGGGAAAACACAGCTCTAAAAGCTGGGTCACTTCTTTGACTTTCCTTCTTTCCCTGGATCTTGGCCCTTTAATTCATTGCCAACTTATTTACTCTGATACCTTCTGAAATGTGGTTTTTATATTGAGTCCAGATTTTCTACTTAATCTCAGCTAGAGAGTAGGCCTGCATGCCTGTCCTCTGCAACAGAAAGGGGAGCAGCACAGTCTCCACTCTCTGGGGTCTTATTCTCTGGTTGGGGGAAAGTTTGTGGTAGAGGCTGGGGGCCTGGGAAGCTTGTCCTGAGGATGAGCATGAAGGAGCCTGAGCAACTACGCAGCTCAACACACCATTTCAAAGATGAAGAAATAGGTCCAGAAAAGGCAAGAGACTTACCTAAGGTCGTATAGCCAAATAGTGACAGAGCTAGCCCTGGAATTTGGATCTCCTGAATCCCTATCCACGAGTACTTTCATTTCACTACAGCAGGCTTTTGGGGGGAGATTTATTTTTTATGTAGTTATTTTTCTTTGTAATGCAGAAATTTTCAGTCTTGCACTGAACCCCAATATTTAACCATCAGAATACAGGCAATCTTCTTTCATTTGCACCTCCATTTCTCCTTGCCACTGGATTTTTTTGGAAGCAGATCCCAAACATCACACCATTGCATCCATAAATACTTTGGTTTGTATCTGAAGTACATCATACATTACGACCTCCCTCCCTCCCTCTCTCCCTCTCACCTCCCTCCCTCCCTCCTTTTTTCCTTTCCTCCCTCCCTTCCTCCCTCCCTTCCTTCCTTCCTTCCTCCCTCCCTTCCTTCCTGTAACCTCAATACCATTATCACACCTAAAAAAATCAATATGAAAAAATATTATCAATATTCAGAATAGTTTAAATCCATTTCCCTTATTATAAAATTACAGATCATTATAGCTAGCTAAGTTTATGCTGGATTTCCTATCTAGCAAGTTTAGGAGCCTTTGACTCTACTGCATTATTATTATTTTTTCTGTGCAATCATATTGTTCCCCAAAGGGAGAACGAATGAACATTATCATTTTGTCCTAGTCTGCAGAAGAGCAGGGAGGGCACAGATGACTAAAGGACACGGCCAAGGCCTCATGGGGAGTCAGGGCCCTCCATTGGAAGGTCTTGTGGGAGTAGGAACCTGGGAAAGGGAAAAAGCCTGTTGTTCCCAGGCCCATTCAGTCAAATGGCCACCCTCACCAGTTGGCAGACTGTGCACCCCAGGAGGTGATCTGAATGTCACTCACCCCTGCGGGACTCTATTCCCTTACAGCCCTGCCTTCTCTTCTGTCTGGAGGCCTGTGAGGCATGCTAAGCAGGAAAAAGTGTAAGCCAGGAGGGCTAACCTTTGACAGCATGAGTGGGCTAGCCTCTGATAGTAGGACTAATACTATGAGTACAAAAGTTCTTTGAGGACAGGACTGTCCTGTTGGACATGGGTCCTATGCTCAGCTCAGGTCTTGTCCCACAGTAGGGACTTCCATTGAATGCAGAGCGTGGAGTTTAAGTAGTAATAGCAGCGAGTAGTTATTGAGTAACTACTATGTACCAGGTACTGTTCTCAGTGATTTCCATGTATTCATTCATTTAGTCCTCATAGCTATCCCATTAGGTAGGCACTTATTAGTCCCATGTTAAAAAATGATGATGCACAGAGAATTAAGTAATTTATTTTAAGTGGTAAAGAAGGTAGATCCCAGTCCAAGCAACCCAGCCCCAGAGCCTGGGCCCTTAACTGCTGTAGTCCTTTGCCCTATAGCATACTTTACAGCAGGCGCAGGGAACAGTGGCCTGTGGCCCAAATTCAGATGTAAGAATGGTTTTTACATTTTTAAAGGATTGTTTTTTAAAATGCAGGGAGAGCCAGGGGAAGAAGAAAAAACAGAAACTACGTGTGGTCCACACAGCTTAAATGTACTATTTGGCCCTTGATGCAAATAGTTTGCTGACCCCTGCCCTAGAGGAAGCCACAAGAAGGGCTTTGGCACCTGCCCCCTGTCTCAGGCTTGCCTTGGTGGGTGTGGTGGGCAGAATAAGTTCCAAAGGTGATATTGGTAAACAGTGGTCAAGACTTCAGTTTCCAAGGACATAGGAGGCTGAGCTATCCTTGTTCTGTTTCTTTCTCCAGGCTGAGGACATGAACATCAAGATGGAGGGGGAAACTTCGGTGCGGAAACCAAAGCAGCGGCCCCGGCCTGAGCCCCTGATCATCCCCACCAAGGCGGGCACTTTCATTGCCCCTCCGGTCTACTCCAACATCACCCCCTACCAGAGCCACCTGCGTTCTCCTGTCCGCCTGGCTGACCACCCCTCTGAGCGGAGCTTTGAGCTGCCCCCCTACACACCACCGCCCATCCTCAGCCCTGTGCGGGAAGGCTCTGGCCTCTATTTCAATGCCATCATGTCAACCAGCAGTATCCCAGCCCCTCCTCCCATCACGCCAAAGAGTGCCCACCGTACGCTGCTCCGGTCTAGTGAGTGACCCCTGCTTAAGCTGCCATGGGGACAGAGAATGTGGGGAGGGGGGGCAGTGGGCAGGGATGAAACTCAGTTTATGGGGCTGCTGGGGAGTGGGCTGGAATGATGTGGGAAAAAGGGGCTCTGCTCTCAGAGAGAAAAGGAGGTTGTCCTGATTCAAGAACACGTGGGAGTGGGGGAAGGAGGTGTCAGCTGAGCTGCTTGGTGCAAATCCCAGTTGCACCATTTACTATTACATCCCTGTGCAAGTCATTTAAACTCCACATGCCTCAGTTTCTCCAGCATTTAAAAGAGGATATTAGTACTGTTTGGCTGATGATGAAATTGCCAATGTTCAACTATTTTTAGATCCTCTAATAGCAGTTTCCTATGGTTCAACCTAATATCGACCTCACAGGGTTGTGGTGAGGGTCAGATGCATTGAAACACTTAATATCATGCCTGGTGTGTCATGTTTATTTTTAATATGTGGCAGATCCTGTCTTCTGGGTCTCTTAAACAGCCATTTTGGCAAACATTCTAGCTCGCCTGGGTGGTGAATTGCTGAAAAATGTTTTCCCCTCCACAAAAGGATCCGTTTCCTCTGAAAAATGGGATAATGCTATCTCTTAGGGTGGTAGAGAGGATTAAGTGGGAGTAAACACTAGAGGTAGCACAGGGGTGAGGTGGTGCCAGTCATTGGCTTAACCCCTGACTGACCTCACCCGTGGTTTAGCTCTCTGGTGCCCCCTTGTGTCTGGGGGTGAGAAATGGCTCACCTGGGCTGGGGCCTTCTGCCCTCCCACTTCACTGGAAGCTTTGCAGCTTCTCTCCCGTTTAGATACTCATTTTAGATTTACTCAAATATTTACCGTTTTTGTTGCTTTTCATTTCTTCCCATATATCCTGGTTACCATCTCAGATCATTTATATGCAACTTTAAGAACATCCTTACTATTTCCTTTAGTGTGAGTCTGTTCGTGATGAATATTATTATTCTTTGATTGTCTGGAAAGGTTTTTGTTTCATCTTCATTTTAGAAGAGTAACTTTGCTGGGTAGAGAATTCTGTGTTGGCAAAAAAAGTTGGTAAAAAAGTTATTATGGCAAATTTAAAGATATAATTCCATTGTCTTTAGGCTTCCATTGTAGTTACAGTACTGAGAAATCACTATCAGCCATATTATTGCTCCTTTGAATGTAAGTTGTGTTTTTATTTTGTTGCTTTTAAGGTTTTTTTTTTTTTGGTCATTCATTTTCAGCAGTTTTGCTGTTACACCTAACTGGTTTTCTTGTATTTATTCGGTTTAGAGTTTGTAGTGCTTCTTGAATATTTCTTCTGCCCCATTTCCTCTCTTTTCTTTTGGGACTCCAGTTACACATTTGTTAGAGCTTTTCACCGTATCCCCTATTTTGTTTCCCCTGCACTTTTCTAGACTTTCCATTTTTTTCTTAGTCTGACCTATCTTTCAGTTCACCAATTCTCTCTTTAGATGTGTCTAATGTGTTGTTAAGCCCATTCATTGAGTTCTTACTTTTAGTTATTTTGTTTTTCAGTTACCAAATTTCCATTTGATTCATTTTCTGTTTCTAGTTCTTTGATAAAGTTCTCGGCCTTGCCTTTTATTTTATTGCATAACTTAAGCATAGCTTTCTTAAAGATTATTCCTGGTAACTCCCTTAATTGGACCCTCATGGGTCTGTTTCTATTATCTGTTATCTCATATTTTTAAATCACATCTTGCTTTCTTGTATGTCTGGTTGTTTTTTTATTGAATGTCAGACATTATATATGAAAAAATATTGAGATAATTAAAGACTCTGGATGATGTTCTCCTCCTCCAGAGAGAATTTATCTTTGCATCTGACAGGTAGTAAAGAGCACCAACACTTCTGGATTACTTTAATTTAATCATTGGTAGAGATATGATTTGAAGTTGGCCATTATTCCAAGGACTAGTCTATTTTTGATTCACCTTTATTCTGAGGATATAGCCCTTTGGAGTTCCAATCCAAAACCAGAGAGATTTACCAGGGTCTCCTTCAAACCTTAAACTCCAAGTTTTATTCTGCTAGTTCCTTGAATTTATTAAAAGCTCTACTCAGTTTCTCAGCTTCTCAGTTGCCTCTTCCAGTAACGGCATCTACTCTAGGGAAAACACAGCTCTAAAAGCTGGGTCACTTCTTTGACTTTCCTTCTTTCCCTGGATCTTGGCCCTTTAATTCATTGCCAACTTATTTACTCTGATACCTTCTGAAATGTGGTTTTTATATTGAGTCCAGATTTTCTACTTAATCTCAGCTAGAGAGTAGGCCTGCATGCCTGTCCTCTGCAACAGAAAGGGGAGCAGCACAGTCTCCACTCTCTGGGGTCTTATTCTCTGGTTGGGGGAAAGTTTGTGGTAGAGGCTGGGGGCCTGGGAAGCTTGTCCTGAGGATGAGCATGAAGGAGCCTGAGCAACTACGCAGCTCAACACACCATTTCAAAGATGAAGAAATAGGTCCAGAAAAGGCAAGAGACTTACCTAAGGTCGTATAGCCAAATAGTGACAGAGCTAGCCCTGGAATTTGGATCTCCTGAATCCCTATCCACGAGTACTTTCATTTTACTACAGCAGGCTTTTGGGGGGAGATTTATTTTTTATGTAGTTATTTTTCTTTGTAATGCAGAAATTTTCAGTCTTGCACTGAACCCCAATATTTAACCATCAGAATACAGGCAATCTTCTTTCATTTGCACCTCCATTTCTCCTTGCCACTGGATTTTTTTGGAAGCAGATCCCAAACATCACACCATTGCATCCATAAATACTTTGGTTTGTATCTGAAGTACATCATACATTACGACCTCCCTCCCTCCCTCTCTCCCTCTCACCTCCCTCCCTCCCTCCTTTTTTCCTTTCCTCCCTCCCTTCCTTCCTTCCTTCCTTCCTTCCTTCCTTCTGGGATTTCCCACGGTCACAAACCTAGCTTAGAATCTGGCTCCAAAGCTAGTGTTTGCCTCTTCTTTCCTTCGAGGTCTCAAGCCCCGATACCTANTTCAGGAGAGGGTGGGGCTAGAACTGAGCTTGAAGGGTGAAGGGGGTGGGGAGGGCACACTAGGCAGAGGAAATGAGTGGTGCAAAGGCCTGGAGGTAGGACTGTGCAGGGAGAGTGAGCAGTCTGCTAGGATCAAGGGTCCAGGCAAGAGGGTGGTGTGGGAGGCAGAGATGGAAGAGGACTGCTGAGGAGTGCCGGCTTTGGCTCACTTTGCAGAGGGGAGCCAGCACCGATTTTGGTTTTGGAGCAAAGGAGTGTCTTGATCATGTGGGGCATTAAGAAGATTAGCTCAGGTGAAACTGAGGCAGTGAAGCCAGCAGGGATGTGAGAAGATAATTACGAAACAGCGATCTCCTTCCCCACCTCGCCCGGGAGCTGAAAGTTTCAGCCTCTTTACTAGAGCCACCAGTTTAACGTTGGAGTTAATTCTAGAGTATGGGAGGTGCCGGGGCTTTGTGCATAATTTCATTCGATCCTCACATTAACCTTAGGAGTTAGGTAGTAATAGCCCCTTTCAGCAGGTGTGAAAATGGAGACACCCACATATCTGGTAGTCACAGTTAGCCGTCATGTCACCATTGCAGGCTACGAAGCTGGGACTCAGGGTACCTGATTTCCAAGTGTGAAGCTCTGTGAGTCACCACTGTGACTCTATAGAGTAGCCACCGAGGGTTGGGATGGGGGGTGCTTTGCTGAAGGGAGGCGAGTGCCGTTTACCAACCTGCCTTTTGTCCCATAGATAGCGCTGAAGTCACCCCGCCTGTCCTCTCTGTGATGGGGGAGGCCACCCCAGTGAGCATTGAGCCGTAAGTGCAGCCCTGCCTCTGACCCATGGTGTGAGGGTGGTCAAGTGGGGTCCAGTGCATTCAGGCGGGCCCTGCAGGAAGTGGAGGGTTCGGTGGGGCCTGCAGAGGGCTGAGCAGGCCTCTGGGCTTCTGCAGTCGGCCCTGGGCTTTCCTTTCCTCACCCTGCTCCTGTGTGGAAGTCACAGGGATAGGAAGAGACGAGCTCAGTTGGAATTTGCCTCTGAGGAGAATTAGGAGGGTAGTCTGAGAGACTCCTTCCCTGTCTGTAAACCTGGATCTGCTGCTTCCCTTTCCAAACTCTGGGCCTTGCCTTTCTGGCAGTACCAGGTGCATCTACACCCAGCTGAGGCCTTGCCTTGCTCAGCCTCTGCCAGCTGCTGCCTGCATCTATTCCTGTCCCCAGGGAGACAGTCAGGTTCCCCATCTTCACAGGTGAGGCCTCACTCCCTGCCCTTTCCACCCTTGCAGACGGATCAACGTGGGCTCTCGGTTCCAAGCAGAAATCCCCTCAATGAGGGACCGTGCCATGGCAGCTGCAGACCCCCACAAGGCTGACTTGGTGTGGCAGCCGTGGGAGGACCTAGAGAGCAGCCGGGAGAAACAGAGACAAGGTGAGAGGGGACCCGAGCCAGCAGGTGAAGGTGGGCTGTTGGGTAGGTGATTGGGCCAGGCCCAGCCCCAGCCTTGCCCAGCCCAGCCCAACGCAGCCCTAAAAGTTATTTCCTCTCCTGTCTCCCCATGCTTGCTCCCTCACTTGCTCCCTGAATCTAGTGGAAGACCTGCTGACAGCTGCCTGCTCCAGCATTTTCCCTGGAGCTGGCACCAACCAGGAGCTAGCCCTGCACTGTCTGCACGAGTCCGGGGGAGACATCCTGGTAAGACACCACCCCTGGCGGAAAGAGGGACCCTCAGGGAGGCTGACATGGATCTATCTCTGCTGCCCAGGAGCCAGGCCTGCTGGCATGCTGATTTGAGACAGACCAGAGGGGTCCGACCAAGTTGGGGGTTATAGGTGCTCCACCCAAGGGAGCCCTAGTCCCAGACTTTGCTGTGCAGGGAGCCCCCATCCACCCCAGTCCCTGACTCTGGGTCAGTGGGTCTCCACCCTCAGGAAGGGCTGTCACTGAGGGCCTTCTCCATCTGTGGCTGCCCGCCTTGGGGGCCACATGTCCCCTCTTCAGAGGCCCTGAAGCCTGGTTCCTGAGGAGTTGCATCCCCCATGACCTTGCCATCCTGCCAAACCCCTTATACCTTAGCAATTAAGGGGAGCAAGAGTCAGTGCCCACCCTCCTCAGAGGCCTGAGAAGGCCCTCTACATTTTGCTCACTGAGACCCCTGACCTTTCTTCACTTCCCTTTCAGGAGACGCTGAATAAGCTGCTACTGAAGAAGCCCATGAGGCCCCACAACCACCCACTGGCAACTTATCACTACACAGGTGAGCCTGGCTGGGGGTTGGCCTCAGGGCCTGGAGCCGGAAGGGGTCTCCAGCATCCGTGGGGCCCAGCGTAGTGCTGAGTCACAGCCCTGGGTGGGGAGGTAGGGGTTGGATCAGCCAAGAAGGAACTGATACCAAAGCTGGAGTAGCTCTCAAGGGGCTTTCTGTGCCTGGAGGGGAAGAGAGAAGGGTGTGAGCTTTGCCATCCAGGCGAAGCCCAGGGCCAGGTACAAGGGCCAGGAACCCAGGGAGTGCCATTCACGGTGCCTGGAACTTAGACAGTCCCTGGAGTGCCCTGTCCTGCTCTGGGCCCTGTGCTTTAAGAGGGACATTGACCAAGAGGACATAATCATAGCAGCCACTGTCACTGACCCCTGTCGAGCGGTACATGTCATCTTTGCCAGGCAGAGCACCAGGGGTTCCACCTGCGTTGTTGCGTTTAGTCCGCACCATAGCTGGAGAGGGAGCTCCTATCACTAGCTCCCATTTCACAAGCGAGGGGAGTGAGGCTCGGAGGCTAAGCCACGTGGCTTATAAATGGGAGAAGCAGGGTGTCGCGCTGGCTTTTAAGTGCTGCAGATGCCGTGGAGGGACGAGCTCCCACTTGTCTGCTGGTCAGAACTGCCTCTGCGGTGCTCACAGCCCCGCCCGCCTCACCACCTGGGCTCCCTATTTGCCCCACAGGCTCCGACCAGTGGAAGATGGCTGAGAGGAGGCTGTTCAACAAGGGCATTGCCATCTACAAGAAGGACTTCTTCTTGGTGCAGAAGCTGGTGAGCTGGGGGCTCTGTTTCAGGGGCAGGCGTGGGGCAGGAGCTGCCTGCATGATTTGGGGCTCCCTCTGCCAGTGGGGGCCTTCAGTTGCTGGTTACCAAATCCTCTTAACAAGCAGTTAGGGAAGTGCCACCAAGTAGCCTCAGAGACAATTGTCTGAACAAAACAAGAAGGGAAAACAGATCAGGACTTCACCCCCTTGGTTCTAAGCCTCTTTCCTTCACCTTAGGGTAGTGAGGCCACGCTCTGGGGTCTCAGTCCAGAGGGAAGCTTGAATGGGCATCAGACACAGTGATGTCAGACTTAAAATAGTGAGATGCGTAAGGGAGAGCAGGAAGAGAGGGGGGCTGCAGACAGACATGAGCCATCCCCCAAGGAGCTGGAGTACATCAAGGGCCACAATTGGTATGTAGGAGGAGAGGTCACCCTAAGACGAGGGGAACTGAGAGCCGACAAGCGACTGTGTAACTGACCTGGCGGGGCCTCTGCCCACGTCTTGTCAGACCTAGGACTTCTTTCCAGCATTTCAGGCCCAAGCCTAGTTTTCCTCGATTGACCTTGTCCTCTCCCCATGTTCACCTGGGAGAGTGCTTTGCTTTGCTAGTCTGAGGACTTGCATCTTTCCACCAGCCCTGTCTTGGAAAATCTGGGCTGTGGGAGAGTGAGCTGTGCAGACCGCCGAGGGGAAAGGGCTCCCAAGAATGTGCCCTTTCCTCCTGGGATTGTAGATGGTGCCAAGGACACCTATGGAGACTGGACAAAGTGCTGATGAATTCTCCTACAAGGGCCCTGTTGTGAGGACAGACATTTGCTGGGTTCCCTGATTGGGCAGTATAGCCGGGAAATACATGCCTGTGAAATTCACTGAGGTGCCCCGAATGCCTTAACGAAAAGAAGAGTCCATTAGGCAATCAAACAGATGATCAGAGAGAATTGATACTAAAAGTGCAAATGGGCTCTACTTAATCAGTTTGTGGCCGGGCCGTTCCTGTGAGATGGAGCATGTCTGCTTCCTCCTCAGGCCCAGAGGACCCTCACTGACGCCCTGGGCTCTGTGGACAGGACTTCCCAGCTCCCGGTGCAGCCCAGCAGTTGGTTGAGCAGTACTGGGAGGCTGGAGGAAAAGGGAGAGTCAGAGAAAACAGCTTCTGTGTGTGGAAAAGTAGTCCAGAAACTAAACCCAGGAGCCAAATAGATTTGTGAAATGGGAGGACTAGGATTTCAGCGCTTTGGAGGCCCTTGGAGGTCACCTAGTCTCACCCCACTCACTATTGACACACGAAGAGACTTGAATAAGGCCACACAGTTCATTAGCAGCAGAGTTAGGAACAGGACTTGGGCCTCCTGCTTCCTGTTCAGGTTTTCCAGGGCTTTCTTATTAGTCTCCCTTGAGTTCTTCCCCAACAGAGGACAGCTTGACATTTCTCCATCCTCACTTGTCACTCACTGTTCCCTGGAGAGGAATGAAATTTGTCCACGTTGATGAAGGGAATCTGTGTTGCCAGGTTTATCCTGGCTTAGAATGTGGATGGTACCCAGGCTTTTTTCCCCTTTAACTTTTTATTTTGGAAAACTTCAAACTTACAGAAAAATGGAAAGAAGAGTATAATGAACACGCGTGTACCACATTTGCTTTCTTTCGGTCTCTATATAAACTTAGACACACACCTATGCTCTCTCTCCCTCACGTAATCATTGAAAGTAAGTTATAGACACCATGACACTTGACCTAAATATCTCCTAAAAATAAGGATATTCTCCTACAAAACCACAGTACTGTTATCATCCAAGAAATTTAAACTGATACGCTAATACTCTCTAACATGCAAATCTATATTCAAATCTCCCCAGAGGCTCCATGTTGTCCTCTCTAGTTTAAAAATAATAATAATGCTGAAGCATTGGTTCATCGGATTGGTCAGTGGTTAGTGCGGAGCAGGTGTTGGAGACATGCTTATATTTTGGGGATTGATTGGGTTTAGTGTTTGCTAAGGTTAAGTGGGGATATGCAGGGATGAGAAAGGCTGGAGTATCCCCAGGCTGAACAAGGAACTCTGACCTCAGTTTTTGCTTCAAACCAGATCCAGACCAAGACCGTGGCCCAGTGCGTGGAGTTCTACTACACCTACAAGAAGCAGGTGAAAATTGGCCGCAATGGGACACTCACCTTTGGGGATGTGGATATGAGTGATGAGAAGTCATCCCAGGAAGAGGTTGAAGTGGATATTAAGGTAACTCCGTTCCCAGCCTCAGCTGCTGAGAGCCTGAGCTGGGGATGGGTTCAGGGCTGAGCAGGGAGCTGGAGGCTGTACCCTCCTGGAGTCCCTGGAGGCCAAAGAGAGGAAGGCAGTGCCCCTAACAGTCCTAAGGAGCCGATGTCCTGGGCACACCTTTGGGTTCCCCTCTCTATTGGCTAGTGTCACAGTAATAATACATTGTGTCGATGCAGAACTTGAGGGACATTTCCCACAGTATTTGAACTCACATCATTGTCCCCTCATAGCAGACCTCTTAACACTGTTTCCCAAACTTTAGTCATTCTTGTGTCACCTGTATGAATTCTGTTATATCTGCATCCTACCACATATCACCGTTACTGTTTTTGTCATGTCCACATACCACTTGTGCTAGTACTTAATATTCTTCTTTAAATCAATTCATTTTTTTTTGCTCTAAAGGGAAGCTTTATAGCACAATCACCAAAAAAAAAAAAAACCCTAAAAGCCCCACAAAAAACCCAGTGTTGCTTGCCATTGAAGAAACTAGTAAAAAATAAATATAGTGTATGAAAACCAAACAATGTTATTAAATTCTAGCTCGATACAATTATCTGCCAAGGCTCTGAGACTGAGGCCTGACCTCTCTTTAAATCTAGAGAAATATAAAAGACACATTAATAGCAACTCAAGACTTTGTCCTTGACATAATCAAGATTGAAAGAGCATTTAAAAGAGAATGTTATTTCATTCTGTTTCCATGTATCCACCTAACATCATCTTGGGGTTACAAGTCCACACTTGGTGACATGGTCTGAGACAGGGCGTGATTTGGTCCCTATTTTGCAGATGGGAAGGGGGAGGAGATACAGAGAACGTTACAAAGATAATTTAGAATGGAGCTAAAGGCTGCTGGCTGGCTCCACCAGACCACCCTGCCCAAGAATGAGTCTCTTAAACATATCCAAGAGGACAGTTGGCCTTTGGGGAGGGACTGGCGCGTTCCCTCCCTGCCCTGGCTCTATCCCACGTGCTTGGCCTCATCCTGAGGGCTCCCAGGGCTCAAGCCTCTCTTCTTTCCCAGGCAGACTAGCAGAGGGAGGGTGTAGAGCGTCACAGCACAGGAGGCCACGCTGGGCCGGGCCAGGCGAGCAGGACTAGCAGGGGCAAGTGAGGCCCTGGCCGGGTCAGAATTGGGGCACTGTGGCTGCATGACTGAGCTCTAGGCTCACTGCCCTCATTCTTGTCCCCTGTAGACTTCTCAGAAGTTCCCCAGGGTGCCTCCTCCCAGAAGAGAGTCCCCAAGTGAAGAGAGGCTGGAGCCCAAGAGGGAAGTAAAGGAGACCAGGAAGGAGGGGGAGGAGGAAGTGCCAGAGATCCAGGAGAAGGGGGAGCAGGAAGAGGGGCGAGAGCGAAGCCGGCGGGCAGCGGCTGTCAAAGCCACACAGACACTACAGGCCAATGAGTCGGTAAGTGTGACCTCCCCTGGGGGAGCCCAGGGCCAGGAGGAGGCCTGGAGCGGGGCCTGAGGGTGTGGGAGGGAGGACAGAGCAGGAACACGGCTGTGATCGTCCTCATCATAATAGCAGGAATTGTACTGAGTACCTTACGCTCTTAACTCGTTTAATCCTCATAACCCTATGTGGTGGGTATTGCCATTATTCCTATTTTACAGATGAGGAAATTGAGGCCCAAGATCAGACAGCTAGTAGGCAGCCTGACTAGAGTCTGCTATTAATTTTTATGTTCTACTGCTTCCGTATCTGAGACTCAGGGAGAAAAGGCTTTGTGAAAACCTAGAAGTGTGTGTGATATTGGGGAAGGATTCATGAGTTGTAGCTCAGGCAGGGCTTCCCTAAGAGAGCTGTGTCCCTGAAAAGAATGTCAGAAACTGAGCTGAGACCATGGAAATAACAACAGTGGCCCCTCATGCATGTTGTCTGCTAAGTGCTTTCCTGTCCGTTATCTCAGTAAGTCCTCACAATAACCCCAGAAAGTGTTAACCCCCACTTTGCAGATGGAGGAAGATGGGTTTAGAGACACTTAAGTGACTTGCCTGAGGTTCCACCCCAGAACCTCCTAGCGCAGTCCTCTGTCCACCATATCACAGGCCAAGAAGCAAGACATCCGGCCAGAGCTGTTCCTTGTCAGGGAGGGGTCTCCCAAGAGAGGGTAGGGATGGGAAGGGTCTGTTGGGGAACTACTATGAGAGTCTCTTTATTTTGGTGTTGTGCGTTTATGCTTGCAGGAAACCCCCCACAAACTGTAGGCACACAGCTGTTTACTGTCTTCTGAGTCTTGGCTGTGCTCCTTCTGTAAGAGTTTTGCTTTGTGTACACTTGGTCGAGTACTGCCGACTTTTGTGGACACATTCTTGTAGGGTCAACCCATTGCTTATACTTATGACTTCTAATGGCCATCTGGGGCTCCCCTAACCCGAGGCCCATTGTTTGCACACCCTGAGCAGCACTTCTCCAGGTCAGCACCAGGTGTCCTCTGCTCTCTGGCATCTGCTTGGTGTTTCCCTGCATGGCTCATGTTGTCATGAGCTAGCTGCCTGCACATCTGTCCCTTCCACTTAGACTGCAAGCTCTCTGAGGGCAGGGGCTCTTGTCTGTCACCTCTGTATCCCCAGCACCTAGCACATCACACAAATCTCATAAATGAATCTCTTATATGAATAAAGTCACAAATGGGCTAAATGACTGAAAACATGAATACACGTGCCATTCATTGAGACACCAAACCCCCCTGTCAGATGCATTGAGAGGCCCTATGGCAGCTAGGGCTGTACGACAGGATTACAGTACCAGCTTTGTAAAGATAGAGGTGGAATGGGCTGCTAAAAAGGGACTGAGTGCCTCATCACTGGAAGGATTCAAGAGGATGCTAGGGGACCGTTTGGCAGGAGTGTATGACCTTTAGGAGTCCTTTGTTCCCTGAGATTGCAGAATTCAGGATCCTGTCTTCACCAAATCTCTCAACTTCTCCTTGTTTGATCCTCTCCAGGCCAATGACATCCTCATCCTCCGAAGCCATGAGTCCAATGCCCCTGGGTCTGCTGGTGGCCAGGCGTCAGAGAAGCCAAGGGAGGGAGCAGGGAAGTCACGAAGGGCACTACCTTTTGCAGAGAAGAAGAAAAAAGCAGAGACATTTAATAAGACCCAAAATCAGGAGAACACTTTCCCTTGTAAAAAATGTGGCAGGTAAGATGGCCCCGGGACCTAGCAGGGTGGCCACGGTTGGGGGTTGGGTGGACTTCGTTATGGGGAGAAGGAGGAGGTAGTCAGAGCTCTCGCCTTGCCTTCTGATTGTCTCAGAGGCTTTCTCGGGCAGTGATGTCGCTTGGCAGCTTTTAGAAGCGGGACAGTGGCACTGAATAGGAACCCATCCGCCCCTCGTTGGAGGGTGGGGGCAGGCCACATGGTGTGCAGCAAGTCAGGAAGGGCCAGGGACCCCCCAGTACATATACCCACACCTTAGCCTGGTAGTCCCAGGTGGGTGGGGACAGACCTCTTACTTGAGCCCCTCCTGTCCGGCTGCAGGGTGTTTTACAAGGTGAAGAGCCGCAGTGCCCACATGAAGAGCCACGCAGAACAGGAGAAGAAGGCCGCCGCTCTGAGGCAGAGGGAGAAAGAGGCCGCGGCTGCGGCCGCAGCGGCTGCCTCTCCTCACCAGCCTGCCCTGCGGGAGGAGAAGAGCGCAGGCGAGAGGGGCTGATGAGGAAGGCTCCGCTGGGAGGCCCAGGACTGGCCCTTCCCCCTGGGTGGCTGACCCTCCTTGCACCAGCCTGCCGAAACGCCTGCAAGCGCCCTGGAACCTCCAGAGGGAGAGGAGAGATCACATGGACTTTTCTCTGAAAAACAAATAAGACAATAAAATAAACAGCTCTTTTATTTATAAAGGCCCCAGGAGCAGTGTTAAGGGCTGCAGGATCCAGTTCTCTGTGCATTCAGTTTGTCAGAAGTTGTCCTCTTGCTTTCCTGGAACTATGAGAATCCCTGCTCCCTGGGGCTGCCCTCTGGGAGGGGCTCCAGCTGCTGCCACCGCTGCCTCTTACACTGGGACCCCTGTTGCAGTGCAGTCTCTTCCCTTTTTGTTCCCCCTGCTCCCCTTGGTTACCATGGAGAGCCAAGCACAAGCTCACCCTTTGCAGCATTATCCACTCTCCCCAGAGGACCTCAAAGGCCCTGCCCCAAGCCCTGGAAAAAGAAAGGGACTCCCTTGGAGGGATTAAGGTGGCCATATCTGAGGAAGCTCAGCCTGGCACCAGTGTTGTCCCGTACGTGACAATGTCCAGGCCCGAGCTGCTCCAGTGATCCTGGCCTCAGGCCACCTTCCTGGGAGGGAAGCTACCAGAATGCCTGGCGGGAGGAGACTGAGGACAGGTACCTATCCCTTTGCTGCTTGTTACCAGCCTGCTGGGGCTGGAAAGTTTTTTCAGACGTTTGGGGATAGGGCCGATGTCCCTGTCCATGCTCTCAGCCTACTGGTGGTAAGGAAACTAGACTGAGGATGGAAGCTCTAGGGCGAGGCCTGAGGGAGCTTTTGATAAGCCTTGGCTCTTTCCTACTTCCCACCTTTTTGCCAAATACTTTTGGGCCCTGGAAGCTGCTAAGGTAGCTTAGCCTAGGCCCAGCCTGCCCCACCTTGGTGCAAGTTCCCTGCCTGCTTCTGTCCTGCCCTTGGCAGCTGCCACCTAACCCTACCCCACGTGGTCTCGTGCTAATATCCACAGCCCAGTCCCCCAGTCCTGCATGCTGGAGATTTCTGGATTCTTCCCTGGGAGGGGGAGGTCTCCTAACCAGATTGGACAGGAGCCTTCATTCCTTGTGTCATTGGGGAGCTATTTATTTATTCTTAATATTTAATTTTTAACATCCTCAGGGACCAGGGGCCTCCTGCTTTTCAGAGGCCCAAGTGCATTTATCCCAAAACAAGGCACCTTCTTGTCATCTCCCCTCCACCCCCATTCCCAAGACCCTAAGGTCCCTTACATTGCTTCTCTAAAGTTCTTGCCAATAGGATGATAGTAGCACTGAAAGAGAATGGGAAGGTGGACGGTGTCACCAAAGCCACAGAGACTAGGAGGAGCAAAGGCGATCAAAGGCAGTTCTTGTTGCTACCTCTTCTCTGTCTGTACTTTCAAATTGCCTGCGGGGATTGGCTAGAAGCCAGAATTCTGGTTTTATTTTTGGCTTGAAGAAGCCATATTTGGCATGGAGGGCTGAGTTATTTTTCTGATCTTGCTACTCAATTTTAGTTGTGTAAAAGAACTTCTAAGTGACTGCAAGTAGGTGTATGAGAAGTCAACCTGTTAGGAAGGAGCCAAAAAGGACTCATTCTGCTACTCCTTTTGAGATAGCCTAAACGCATCATGTTGGTAGCTGGGAGTGGAAAGGGAATTTTGTTTCTAAACTGCACTATCAGATGCAGCTTTCAGCATTCATTTAATGCATTAACATGATCCTACAGGAACCCCAGCTATGGGAGCAACAAAATTCTAACCCCAGACTCCTGGACAGCTACCTAGATTTCCAGCATCTCAGTTACTTTCCTCCATAAGCTTGTTAAGTTCAGTGCCCCCACGATTGCGAAAATCTGGTAACACTCCAGAAACAGAAAGGCAGCAAATTTAGGCTCTCTTCTAAATCACTTGTGTAATATGAGTGCCTTCGCAGCTTTGCCCCAAAGTGCTACTTAGGTTTCCCAAGGTTTTTTCTATTTAAACTGTGTTTAGTTTCAGGCTCCTTTATGGGCATGTAACAGAAACCTCCTTTGTCTAGAGAGATTCTCCTTTTCTAAGCTCAAGGGAGACCAGACCAGGCGAATGTAGGTGGAGAACATCAAGATGGTACCTCTCTGTATTAATCCTACTAGACACCGTATTTTAGAAGGGTTCATGCTCCAGGATGGACTTATATCTAGAATGCAGGGTGCAAGTTAAAATGTTTAGAGGGCAGATGCAATTTTGGCAAGTAATCTGCCAATTAAGTAGATGCAGCCATGGAAGCTGGCATAGGTATATCCTTTATGGTGCTTTCTCTCTGTGAACACATTAGGCTCATCTTTTGTTTGTTCTATTCAGAGCTCTTTGCTTTAAAAAAGTTAAATGACAAAACACCTCCAGCTTTATAATGTCCTCCCCACGCCATCTCCCATAGCCATCTCTCAGCTTCCCTCTGCACTCAGCTAAGGGCATGAAACTAACCTAGTGCCTGTGTTCCAGACCATTTCTGAGGTCTCTTACCCACCCAAGGAGACAGTGCTTCAGCACTGCCCTCCATGCCTTCAGCAGCTCTCCCTCACAGATAATGTACACACCCATCCCTTCTGCCACCCCACCCCCACCCCTGGCACAGAGGTGGTGTGCTGCTTATGTCTAAAGGGATCCCCTATATTTAACTGCCTCAGTGACCTAACCTCTTTCTTCTCATGTGCCAGATGTTAAGATGAAGGAGGAATACAATACATACTCAAGCCCCAGCTGTTTAAATGTTTTTAGTGGGGCTTACTTTTCTTGGACGGTGTTTATTACCAGACTGGCAAGCCTAATTGCTTAGGTTTACAGGAAGTATGCCTATTTTTATAAAACAATTGTATGTCCTCCACATATTGTGCTGTGTTAGTATTTGCCTCTTAACAATTTGTAGCTGTTTCACCTTTTCCTCATTTGTCTCTAATTGAAGGCCTTGTTGGAGGGAACAGAGCACAGGAACAGCCTTGACAGTCTGTAATTATTGTACAAATATTTTAATAGCATATAAATAAGTATATTCATTTTATTTTGGGAAAAAATTGAACAGACACTGCCTTTTGTGTGTTTGCTGCCTGTGGCACCCTTTTTAAAAAAGACTGTTACATATTGAAATAGTGTACATATATATATATAAATAGTACCTCTTGCTGTACAGTTGTGATAGACCATACGGAAGATTTTATTTTTTGTGTGCTTTTTATATAAAAAAATTAATACACTAAAGAAAATCTTGCTGATGTGATTGTAATGTACCTATGTAACTTATTTACTTTTGAATGTTCTTCTGTATCTTTAAACCTTTTATTACATAAGGTTTTAAAATTCAGAGTTGAATGCTGTGTTCTTTTGGGGAGATTTTCACCATCTGGGATTGACGTAAATAGGCCTTGTTTTGCTTGCAGAGGATTACTCGAAATTTTTGAGCCATAAGGATTCTGTTTTATCAGCCCATTGTCAATGATGCCAGGACGGGAAATTAAAACACACTAAAGTTTTCCTGGCTATAAAAATTACTGAATTAATACAGATATTTTTACAAAATTTTAGAGTGTCTCACAAAACAACAACAACATGTAAATGGCACATTTACAACATTTTCGTTTCATTGGGATTAAACATGGAGGGTGCAAATGCGAGCAGGTGGCACAGGGAAGCCACGGGGATGAAGAGGATGTTTTCATATGTAGCATTGACTATACAAGCGACCCCAGTAGACAAGTTTGCTTTGACGGATGCATTTTCAACAGTATCTTAAGCCCACTCCAGAAGTATATCGCTATCTTTTAAACACGGTGCTTTGAAAAAGAATCTAGAAAATATTAAAAAGGAAATGCGCCATCGGAGAAACCAGTGCCTGCAGCCCCTGGCTGGTACCATAGCAACCGCTCGACCGCACAGGCAGCCGAAGCGCGCGGATCTCGCGTTGTCGGGACCACCGTTGCCATGGCTACCCTGGAGCTAGCCGGGCTGCGGGGGAGGAGCAGGAGGAAGCCGCTGGCGGGGCCGGCCCTGCCCTCCACTGCGGCAGTAACGCCCCCGCTGGCTGCGGGTGGGACTCGCGGGCATCAGCTGTGCGTGAACCCGCCGCAGCCTGCGCCTCCGCTGCCTGTGCCCTCGGTCCTCGGCAGTCCTCGCCGCTCAGAGGGATCCCTGCTCCCGCGAAGAAGCCGCTCGCGGACTGGCCCTGCGGCCGCTGCTGTGACCACAGGACAGTTTCTCTCTCGAGGGGCGGCGGAGCCCTCATCTGCAGAGCTGCCGCTCCTGGGACGACCGGAGGCCCGGCTCTGACGGCGCACACCCGCGCGCTCTCCTCCCGCAGCGGCGACTGCCCGGCGCCCCGGCGGCCACACCCCCGCGCCCGCACCTCGGCGGCCTCTCCAGCCGGACCGCTTCAGCCTCCGCCGCCCGCCTTGGCTCCAGGCCGCCTGCGCTGCAGCGCGACACCCGCAGGTGGAGGACCCGGGCCTCGGACCCCGACCTGAGGCGCAAGATGGCTGCAGCCGCTTGACTGACGGAGCTCCGTTCCAGAGGCTTCGCTCCGGGGACGCGCCGACCAACTGGCCGGGGGGCCAGCGAGAGGACGAGAGCGGGACGCTGGTGTCGTTTGCTCATTGTGATTGCGCGACGCTTATTGGGCGCGGGGAGAGTGTCTGCTGTTGTCCTAAGCCCCAGAGCCCAGGGAGCCACCGTCTAAACCCGATTTGTAGAATTGGGCTCTTGATAGTTGGGAAAATGGCGATGACGCTGTTGGAAGACTGGTGCAGGGGGATGGATGTGAACTCCCAGAGAGCCCTGCTGGTCTGGGGGATCCCCGTGAACTGTGATGAGGCTGAAATCGAAGAGACCCTCCAGGCTGCGATGCCCCAGGTGCCCTATCGAGTGCTTGGGAGGATGTTCTGGAGGGAAGAGAATGCGAAAGCAGCCTTGTTAGAGCTCACGGGCGCCGTCGATTACGCGGCCATCCCCAGAGAGATGCCAGGTAAAGGAGGGGTCTGGAAAGTGGTCTTTAAGCCCCCGACTTCCGATGCTGAATTTCTAGAAAGGTTGCACCTTTTCCTAGCGAGAGAGGGGTGGACCGTGCAAGATGTTGCCCGTGTCCTTGGGTTTCAGAACCCTGCTCCGGCCCCGGGCCCAGATATGCCAGCAGAAATGCTGAATTATATTTTGGATAATGTTATTCAGCCTCTTGTTGAGTCCATATGGTACAAGAAGCTGACGCTGTTCTCCGGGAGAGACATCCCGGGTCCTGGGGAGGAGACCTTTGATCCCTGGCTGGAGCACACTAATGAAGTCATAGAGGAGTGGCAGGTGTCCGATGTGGAAAAGAGGCGGAGATTGATGGAGAGTCTTAGAGGCCCGGCCGCTGATGTCATCCGCATCCTCAAGACTAACAACCCCGCGATCACCACCGCCGAATGCCTAAAGGCACTTGAGCAGGTTTTTGGAAGCGTCGAGAGCTCTAGGGATGCGCAGGTCAGATTTCTGAATACGTACCAGAACCCCGGAGAGAAGTTATCAGCTTATGTCATTCGTCTGGAACCCCTGCTGCAGAAGGTGGTGGAGAAGGGGGCCATCGATAAAGATAACGTAAACCAAGCCCGCCTGGAGCAGGTCATTGCCGGGGCCAACCACAGCGGGGCCATCCGAAGGCAGCTGTGGCTGACCGGCGCTGCGGAAGGGCCAGCCCCGAACCTCTTTCAGTTGCTGGTGCAGATCCGCGAGGAGGAGGCCAAGGAGGAGGAAGAGGAGGCTGAGGCCGCCCTCCTGCAGTTAGGCCTGGAGGGGCACTTCTGAGCCCCAGGAAACCGAGCTTTTGTGCAGACCTGGATCACAGCTGCTTTTGTGCAGACCTAGATCACAGTTGTTTTTGTCGTCTCTGTGCTATCTTATAGATGTGTCTATTAGTAAAGTCCTGTTTTCTGGGGGGAAGTCAGGTCTGCGTATTCGTGTTAACATTAGTAAACTCGTGCAAGCGAGCACCTTGAGCTGCTTGCTACAAGTGAGTCGTTTGAGCTTAATGCCAGGTAACATGCCGGACCCAAGTGCTCAGTGCAAGCTGTCATGGCATCATCATTTGTGAAAAACATGTGAACTTGTGATACTTCTCATCGAGGTACTTAAATGTGAAATTGCATGTTCAGATGTTTAGCCCAGAGCCTGGCTCACACAAGAAGTGTTCAGTGAAAATATGAACTGTTGTTACTAATATCGTGAATGGTTTTTGTGTTTACTGTAAATTGTTCCTGATTTATATTAATGGAAAAAATGTGAATTAGAATGTTATTATTACACTTTACAGTGCTAATTATTTTTCATCTTTAAACATCTGGATCACTATAATTGAAAAGTTTTCTGAGACTACAAAATGGGGTGTTAGAAATACTGGTTATAAGAGGTGTGTAAATTAGAATTTTTTACTGTACAAGATACAGATATAAATTGCATGGGGAGGTTAATATGAACCAGTTACAGTATCCATTCCATTTCAGATCTTTGTCATTGAATAGATCTTATTCATGCAGATTGTAAGTGTTCTAAATTTGAAGTTATCAAATACATGTATACAAATAAAAATATTTTAAAAATTGTATTATCTTCTCGTTTTTCTGACTTATAAAAATTTCAGTGTAATTAAGGTCTGTATCCTCTTTTCTAAGACTTCGCCATGTCACTAAAAAAGAAAACCAAACCAATTATCTTTAAGCTTTATATAATACTATGAAAGTTCAAGCTGCAGTACCTTTTTTTTTTTTTTTTAGATTTTTTTTTATTGGGGAATTGGGATGGGAACAGTGCTGGGGAATTGGGGGAAGGAGAACAGACAAGTTGCTGTCGTTTTGTTCTTCAGTCTAGTTGTGGAGGACGTTGCTTCACTGGCCCAAGTTGGCACCATCATTGCGCTCTTCCTGGGCGAGGCACATCAGTCACTGGCTTCTGGAGGGCCGCTCACTGCGGCTGCTGGCCGCTCACGCTGGCTGCTGGCTACATACGGTAGCCTGTGGCAACCCACTGCAGCAGGGCTGCAGCCTACACCGTCGCTGGCGACTCATGGCAGCCCAGCTCCAGGTTGAGCTGTTGTTCAGCATCTCAGCTGTGGAGGGCAGTGTCACTGGCCCTCATATGTGGGATCCGAACCGGGGCCCTCTGGCATCCCAAGCCAGTTCTTAACCATCGCGCCACTCGGCCGGCCCTGCAGTACCTTTTAATGTATTCAATTTTTGTTTGTTTTCTACAAGGCAAATGTTAGGAGGCTCAATAGATATAAGTATTAACCTACTATAAAATGTTAGGAAATCCTATAACGGCGTTTAGGAGGTTATCTAGCAATGCTCTTTCTTCCCGTTTAAGTCTATTTTGCTGCAGGAATAACAACTTCATACCTGTGTAAAATGAATGTCTCGGTTTTACAGCAGCCATTTCATATCAAGAGGATATAAAAAGGGAAATAAGGCTTAAAAATGTGCTTATTTGGCTGCAGAGATTCAGTGACTAAAGATGTCCATCTTTTGAGATCCTAGTAAATCCAGAAGTGATTACATGAACAGCATTCAGTGGGGTTTTCCCCTAAGTAACAAGGCTTTAAAATTATAGCTAACTTATTGTAACAATCATAAGGTAAAATTTTTATTTATAAAGGCTAATATTGGTATATGTTCTAACATTTTTCTGTACACTCATGTCCTCACTTCCTATATATGTTCCTCACACTTCTCTCAACACTTCCACATATTTGACCCCCACAACAGATGGGCAAGTTTTCGTTTTCTCTAAATGTGTCCTCATTCACACTCCGCCATTCACCTAACTTCCCCCTCCACTCCCACCCCCCATTATGCTTGGTATAGCACACTCCCCTCACCTCTCGCAATCCTATTTTCACACGCACTCCCACTTTCCCCACAACACCATCACAAGCATACTCCCTCCTCCCACAACACACTGCAGCAGTCTCCCACCCCATCATACATCCCCATTTCTACACACATACACACACACACACACACACACACACACACCAACCAGCCACCACATATATGTACACCCTCCCACCCTACATACATACACATAACAAAAACAAATCAAGGGTTCTTCATTTTTTTTCACCCAGTATGTTATGGGCATCCTTCCATGTGCACAGAGGGAAATACCTTTTTATAGCTGCAGAGTTGATTGCATTTTAGGAGGGAGGATCATCACCTCTTTTATTATCTATAACAATTGTATATATCTCCATATACAAATATCTAATACAATATATATGGTATAAAACAATGTCGGGACTCTAGATGTCTATCCTTTGCTCTAGAAAACAATGAACTAAAAATA